TGATGGACTTTCGTGTCTGCTGTTCAACATCGCGTTAGAAGGTGTGATCAGAAGAGCTGGGATAGACACGAGTGGGACGATCTTCAGGAAGTCCATCCTGCTTCTTGGCTTCGCCGATGATATTGACATCATGGCACGGAACTTTGAGACGATGGCGGAAACGTACATTAGACTGAAGGCTGAAGCTAGGTGGATTGGATCAACGCATCAAAGAGAAAATACATGAAAGGAAGAGGTTCTAGGGAAGAAAATTTTAGCTTCCCACCCAAGTTCAGATTGACGGTGACGAAATCGAGGCGGTCGATGAGTTCGTGTATTTAGGCTCACTGTTGACCATCGAAAATGATACCAGCAGCGAAATTCAAAGACGCATTATGGCAGGGAATCGTACCTACTTTGGACTCCGGAGGACGTTAAGGTCGAATAAAATTACCCACCACACGAAGTTGACTGTCTACAAGACGCTGATTAGACCGGTGGTCCTCTACGGCAACGAGACCTGGGCTATGCTCGTGAAGGACCAAATGCCCCCAAAGCGCGTGAAGGACCCAAAGCCCAGATGGATGACGGAACGTGGAGGAGGCGAATGAACCACGAATTACACCAGCTGCTTGGAGAACCATCCATCGTCCACATTGAAAATTGGGTGACTACGGTGGGCTGGGCACGTCGTAAGAATGCCGGACCCAGTGAAAATGGTTCTAGAAAGCGGGAACAAGAAGAAGAGGCGTGCAGTGGGCATGGTGGATCGACCAAATAGAAGGCGACCTGCGGACCCTTCGCAGACTACGAGGCTGGCGAAGTGTGGCCATGGATCGAGTAGAGTGGAGACGACGACGATCTATTCGTTAAGAAAGAAAATTTTCAAGCATTAGTCCGATGACTTGCAAAATAAAAGCGATTAAGTCCGCAGTACCCAGGTCAATACCTTTATCGCTAGGTGGTAAATGAAGTTCATTGGCGTTCATGTTTTGTCTAAGGATTAATCAAGTTTCAGGGCATCGTTTGCCCAAAATAAGGCATTCTATTGCCCAATTTACTCCTGTGACGATAATAGGAAAAGTTTTTGACAAAGCCGGCCGTCACCCTATGTATAACATCCTGCTGCCATCAGAATAATTGAACGAGTTGTTTCAGTCATAGTCCTAGAGTTTAAAATTGGATTCCACCATTAATTCAGCCGGTAAATAATAATTATTCGTCACAGAAAAGCAACCCTTTGGACGAGCAATGGAATTTCGGGCGTTTCCAAATGACGTCCTCATTGAATTTAAATTTGAAAATCATCCCCAAATTCTCAATCCAAGTCCCAACGAACATCCACCGGATCCAGAAAACGTTCAGCTTGGAAGAAGTGGCGAAGGCCAACGAGTCAATTAAAAGCAAATACAATTCAATTGAAATGCAAAAATGGCATGACCTTCGCTGAATAATTCCCAGAGCACCAGAGGACGACGTCTTTCGGAAATATAGATGAACATTTCAAAAGGTCCCATCTGCTTTGAACGATTCTCTTCATCGACTTTCTCTTTGAACCACAGCTGTACAAACATATAATGCGCTATTTTTGTCACATATACAGAACGTCAAATACAACAGCGAATGTTTTTTGCCGCTGAGAAAGTCGATGAAGAAAATCGATCAAAGCAGATTGCACCTTTTGAAATGTTCATCTAGAAATAGGAAACGACCGTAAATTTGTTTCCCAGTTGGTCCCATTGCTGGCTTCCAGCCCACGAACGAACGGAACACGCGAACTGATGCTGTTTGCAAATGTAATTTAGCCGTTTCCATCATCGCTTCCATTGAGCCGGCGCCCTTTGGGTCATGGTTTGGAGTGCTGAAATTTTGAAAGTCAAGTGACACATTTATCTCATACTGTTACACGGCGAATGAGAACGCCTCAAATTTGAGTTTAGTTCACTCATAATCGCCAAAAGTGCAGGAACTCAGCGATGAGTAAATTTGTCTCATGGTTTCCTGTGGAAAACCTCAAAAATCTGCCGGAAAATGAGGAAATTGACGAAAATTTTATTCAGTCTCGGAGTAGTACGAATAGACTGAATGAATCCAATCTTATCTTTTCTCAAATTCGGGAATTTTTCCCTGGAAAATTCTGGAAAAACCTGGGAAAACATGAGACAAATTTTACTCATCGCTGAGTTCCTGCACTTTTGGCGATTATGAGTGAACTAAACTCAAATTTGGGTCGTTCTCATTCGCCGTGTACCTACCGGTAGGGAAGAAGGATACAAAAACAGCTTACCAGGGATGGTGTACTCTCTGGTGACAATCATAATGGCTCACCCTCACCGTAATTGAATAATCGTAGGATAGTGGTATACCGAGTGGGAAGTCAAAGTTAACCGTCCTATTAATTCCTACATCGTATTATCGTTCCATTATAGCGATCCGGAAATTTTCCGTAGCATTCTTCCACATTGGCTTTCCGTAAATTACGAGCTACATGCGAAGATCCTGGGCCAAGGCGGATAATCACAGGTGGGCTGTATCGCCCGGTCCGCTAGTGTTGGTGAGTTATTTCCCGGTAATGTTCATTATTTTTCCATAAACAGTGCCAAAACAAAAAAGTTTACGGGTGGATTTGGACTGATTTGAACCTGTTTCATACGACCAGAAGGTGTATGTATGTTGGTCACAAATGCCTTGCCAAATTGATTTCCTAAGCAAGTTATGTGAATTTCAATCGTCTTCGTTCATTCTAGTAAACAAACTTACACTTCTTCCTTCTGTGGTAACTTTGATCAAGTACTATTCCAAGATATTTCAAATGGAAATTGCATCTCCATAGTGACTATGTTACTACTAGTATGTTTCAAAAAGGAAGTTTACTTGGCTTATTTGGCAATATTATAAGTAGAATTTTGTAAATAAGAAGAGAGAAGAACTAAACTTGTCTGCATCTTAAACAATATAGGCCAAGAATGTTACCCTGATGAGCTCCAGCTCTTACAGGTAGTTGATCAGATTTGGAATTAAATTGTGTGCAGGGCTCTATCAGTTAAATAATTTTGAACTAATTTCATAATATACAGAGGAAAATTAAACTTTTTCAATTAAGCAATCAAACCTTCATGCCAAACACTATCGAATGCTTTTTCTATGTCTTGAAGAACAGCTCCAGTTGAGCAGCCTTCAGATTAAACTGAACGAATTAATTTCGTAACTCTTAAGATGTGTCAGTAGTTGATTGTCCATGGCGAAATCCAAACTCCTCATCTGCTAAAATCGAGTCCGTATTGATGTGCAGCATCATTCTATTCAATCATAATTTTTCCAAATCAGTCCCCAGGAATCATCAAAAATATTTTCCCGAGAGAAAATATTCAGATAATCCCGAGCAACCTGATTCTCAATAGTCTTAATAGTTCCAAACTGAAATTATGGGAAATCTCGAATTACTTAGCAAGTTTCTGAGCTTTTTCCGAGTGTTTGAACATAAATAGAAGCACCCTACCACCAAAAATGTTCCACACGAAATCGTACTTCACCTACTCTCACACAAAGCTCTCACGATCCTCTCTTATCAGCGAATCTCCTTTCCACGAGTAGATTGTAGGTACGAGTGAACAGCTGATAGGGGCAATAAATTAGTTATCCACCAATCGCGCGCGTATACAGATGTTTTTTTTTATCATTAACGTTCTGCACGGACCTTGCTTCAATTCAAATTCACGGCTTTTGCGATGCGTCCAAGAAAGCCTACGGAGCATGTCTGTACCTCCGGAGTACCACATTCAGCGGATCAGTGGAAGTTCGTCTCATCACAGCGAAATCCAAAGTTGCACCTCTAGAGGATCTCAAGCGGAAGAAAAGGGAACAAACTACACCACGACTGGAATTGTCAGGCGCGCTACTCCTCAGTTATCTGTACGAGAAGTTCGTCAGCAGTACCGGTATCCACCACACAGCTCACTTTTGGACCGATTCTACGATCGTGATGTACTGGTTGTCATCCTTGCCATCGAGATGGCAGATGTTCGTGGCGAATCGAGTGTCTGAAATCCAGCACATTACAAAGGGAAGTTCCTGGAAGCATGAAGCCGGTGCAGACAATCCGGCAGACATTATCTCTCGAGGAATGATTCCAGCCCAGTTACAGTATGAAAAGCTGTGGTTCGAAGGTCCTCTGTGGCTTCGCCAAGATGCTAGTATATGGCCGTCGAATGTTCCAGAAGAAGAAGTTGATCAAGCACTCCTGGAGGAAAGAAAGATCGTTGCACTGCCAGCAACATCGGAACCAGTCAGTGAAATATTCAGCCTTCGTTCGTCGCTCTTTATCTTGGTCCGATTGATCGCAAGAATACGCCGTTTCGTCCATAATACACAGCATAGAGATGAGAGGCGTATTGCTTTCCTGTCGTATCCTGAGCACGAAGAAGCACTAGCAGTCCTGGTTCGACTGGCACAACGAGAATCGTTTCCGATGGAATTCGCTGCATTGGAGAAAGGAAAGTCTATCAGCCCGTTGTCAAAGTTGAACAAGCTCAACCCTATCTTCATCGATGGAGTATTACGTGTAGGAGGTCGATTAGCAAAGGCACCAGTATCAGCAAGTCGGAAGCATCCGATAATCCTGTGTCACCGTCATCCGTTGGCCAAGTTGGTCCTAGACTATTATCATCGCAAGAACTTCCATTCTGGGATGCAGCTGCTTGTGTCCACAGTGCGGGAGCGATTCTGGGTAACATGCATCAGAAGCCTAGCCAACACTGTCATTCATGAATGCGTCCAGTGCTTCCGTAACAGACCGAAGGTTTTGGATCAGCTAATGGCTGACCTTCCATCCGAACGTGTATCTCCAGCGCCACCATTCCTGAACGTAGGCGTGGATTACTGCGGACCGTTCCTGATTAGCTATCCAATCCGCAGATCCTTCCCTAGGAAACACTTTGTCGCAATCTTCGTCTGCCTTGTAACGAAGGCAGTCCATCTTGAACTGGTGAGCGATTTGACCAGTGAAGCCTTTCTTGCTGCCTTCAAACGCCAAATGCCTTCAACGAAACTGAATCGTTGATGTCCACTTGCTTCATATGGCCTAGCCGCTCGTACTCGTGAATAAAATCCTGGTACTGAGCTTTCAGATCTGGATTTGCTTCCAAGCGTCTTTCCAGGGCGAGAAAACGTTTAGTAGCGATTAGTTCAGATTCTCCATGCTGCTGCATCACGAACTCCTTCTTCGGTAGGGACACTACAAATCTTCCACTGCTGTCCCGTGTTGTTGTTTCGTCGAAAACAGCTTCGCACGATGACTCTTCCACAGAATGGATGCTGCTGGATTTGCAGGATTCCAGCTCCCAAAATCGTGCTAACTGGTCTTGGATGTCCGCTAGTGTACATGAATATGACACTGCTTGAGGCGGATTTACTTGTTGATTTGGAATGGGACCAGACACGACCCAGCCAAAGACGGTGTTCTGCAGAGTTGGGCCGGTTTTCGATATCTTGCTGCGCCCATCGGTAAGGAGATCAAAGTAATACTCCGCTCCAATGATGATATCGATGGGTCCTGGATCACTGAACTGCGGGTCTGCCAACACGATGCTGCTAGGAAGAATCCATTGACCGGTGCTGACCTTTCGAACGGGAAGTGTTGCTGTCAACTCTGGTAGCACATAGAACGGCATGTTTTCGGTATACGACGAAATATCACCAGATCGGGGAAAGATGAATGCCTTGACCATCCTTAACCTTTGACAGAAATTGGTGCTCATAAAGCAATATTGCGAACACGAATCTAGTAAAGCTCTGGCTAGTCGTGTCGCTCCGTACTGATCTTTAACGCACACCACAGCAGTGGATAGCAGTACGTCTCGAGTACGGTTTTGGTTACTGATTGACAGTGAAATTGTGTTCTGACTAGTGCATGTCTGGTTTGTGGTGAACAGTGGTTTAGTGTTCTGCGAGAGTGTAATAGGGAGAGCGCTTGTGGAAGGTTGAGTGGTTTGGTTGGGTATAGACTGGCCTTGAGTGTGTGATTGTGTCTGGTGTTGCTGTTGGTTCGCTGATGAAGATTTCGCTTGCGACGAGACGGAGGATTTGACAGACTGATTTGAGTAATTGTGCAACAGGGAATGATGTTTCTGTTGGCAATGGTGGCAGGACCCCTTGACGCACAACTTCGACTGATGTCCTGCTGATAAGCAGTTGAGGCATAATTTGTTTCGTCGTGCCATGTCGTAGCGTTCGGGAACCTTCAGTTTCAGGAACTTGATGCAGCGGAATGCAGAATGGAATGCCTCTCCACAAAATGCGCACTTGTTCCACGATTGAACTGCAGAATTACTCACTCCAAGCTTGGGCCGTTTCTCCTGGACTGGGATGGACTTCACGGGAGCGACTGATTGTACTACGGAACAGTGTCCGCGCAGAAACTGGATTAGGTTCGTGTATGTGGGAACCTCTTTCGAGTTGTGATGTGTCTCCCAGTGTCGAAGAGTAGCGGAATCTAAGCGCGAGCAAACCATGTGCACTAATATGGTGCTCCAATTGGCGGTCTCCACTCCGATTTTCTGCAGCATCAACAAGTGTTTCTTGAAATCACCAACCAGCTTACTCAGTGATTCGTAACTTTCCTTCTTCATAACTTCTACCGCAAACAAGGAATCCAAATGGGCCTTGACGATTAACTTTTTGTTTTCGTACCTCCGTTCCAGTGTTGTCCAAGCTACCTCGTAATTTACTTCGGACATCTCCACCGAGTTGATCTCTTGTAGAGCTTCGCCCGTCAGTGAAGATCGTAGGTACGAGAACTTATCCACAGCTGTCAACTGTTGGTTATTGTGTATCAAGCTACGGAAAGTGTCTCGGAAGGTGACCCACTCCATGAGTTGTCCACTAAAGTTCGGCAGTCTTACTTCAGGCAATTTTACTCTCCAACCATTGGCTGGAACGGCTTGCGGTACTGGTCGGGCATCAGGTCTAACTCCAACAAGATCAGGCTTCGGCATTAACCTTGAAAGAGCAGCCTTCAAGTTGTAGTAGCTGTTTTCAATCTTCATAACGATCTGCACGTTTTCTTCCTCTCTCGCCTTCTTCACAGCATCTATGCGAACTTGATGTTGTTCCTTGGATATCTTGATTTCAGTTTCTTCTTCAGGAACAATGTCATCCATCAACAACTCAATTCTTCGACGGACTGTGTGGAATTCCTTGAACACCTCCTCCAATCTTTGCAAGCGGATTTCCACCTGATCACTCTGCTCCTCTTCATAATGATCTACGAAATACTGCATACCATCGAGAGTCCTCCGAATGTTCCTTTCCTCCTTCTGAAGTTCACGAAGATCGTTAGTCATGTTCACTACTCACTCACAGCACTAATTACTAAGAAATTGAATAGGATACTTCACTGCCACCGATACTATCACTTGCACTGTGCACTTTTTATTCACAATAAACTCCTCATCGACTCGACGTCCCGCGTGATCTCGCGAAGCTTTGGATAAAACTGTGAAGATTGACAACAGCGAGTGGAGAAACCAAACAGACAACAACCAACAGGAGAAAAAGCCAACAATTGCAAGACCAACCGTCCAATTCCGTGGAGAAAATTGCAAATACTGCCAAGGCTCGATCCCAATGGAGAAAAACACTCAGAAATAATCCAAATTTAATTAAAGTGTAAGGTCCGAAATCCGATCAATTTGTGATCCTGTGCGAACACCGAGTTTGTGTTCAAAATTTTACCACCATCATTAAGCGCTGGAAAAGGCTTTTAAGGTTTGCTTACAAAATTTTTGTGAGCTTCCAAAAGGGTTTGGAACTCAGGTACTAGACCTGAACATTATGGTAGAGAGGTAAATGAATCATTAAACAATGACGATGTTCCTTAATAAGTAAAAAAAATCAGCTGAAATGTTCAGTAAATCATTGTGTGCATTTGTGCATTTTTACTGAACATTGCAGCTGATTTCATGGTACTTATTAACCTTTCTACATTGCCGAACATTATTTAACATTATTTTCAAAAGTTTTGTTCCGGAGGCCAGAGAAAAATTTGTTTTTGCAAATCCCACCAGATAACTTTCATGGCAGGACCGCGTGCAGTGTTGGAAAAGTTCGCGATATTTCACGAAGTTCACCAAGGGAAAAGTTCGCGAGTCATAGTGAGTTATCGTGAACTTTTCCATCACTGACCGCGCGTTCTTTTATATTGTCTCCTACGGACATTTTTAAGACGGATCAAAAGCTGAAGATCGTCGTCTATTATAATTGAATCGAATTTAACCTCGCATTTTGGTACTGAGGCAGCTTTTGCTTCAACTATATATGTAAGTAGTCGGAGAGCATAATTAATTTCATCTTTGGTTTGCAAAGGAATATTTGGATCGAAGCTATAGTCCATAAAAGTTCGATATTGCTACCAATCAGCTCTATGGTAATTGAAAGTAGAGCTGTTGGGATTAGAAATTATTTCTTGAGATATTGACAGTTGGCTACAAAGTTGACATGAATCAGTTCCAGTTCCAGAGTTGACTACGGCTAATGGAGGTTCTTGGTAGAACGTATACTGAAGCTATGCAAAGATTTTTGCTCTTCACATTTATTTAGCAAGCGACGATTTCGACGCCTGATAGAGTTGGAAGAGAGATTTTGTAGAGCTCATTCATAGTATTTATAGGTAAAGTAAACACTAACATCAACAGCGTTTAGAGAGTACGCTGTTGATGTAAGTGTTTACTTTACTTTTAAAAACTATGAATGAGCTCTACAAAATCTCTCTGGTTATTACAGCATGGGTAACCAGTTGGCTACAAAGTTGACATGAATCAGTTATCAGAAAAAAAGACCAAATTAATAGTTGAGGGATTTCTTGCTGAAGAAAACCATGTTGGTTTTTTTGGATATTGAACAGTGTAATAAACTGCAGAACAATCATCAACTAGAATTTTACATTTGGAATTGCTTTGAGCATTATTGCAAGAGCTGTGTTTTGCATTAAAATCACCAATAATGAAGAATTTAAACCTATGATGGGTAAGTTTCTGAAAGTAACCCTTGAGAAAATTCTTTTGCTGGCCTACGCATTGGAATGGCAAATAGGCAGCTATAAACATAAGTTGTCCAAATTTTGTTTCAACATAAACTCCAAAAGCTTTATAAACTTTGGTTTCAAATGAAGAAAGAATTTTATGATGAATACGTCTATGAACAATGATGGCAACGCCACCACAGGGTCCATCAAGACGATCATTTCTATAAATAAAATAATTTGCGTCCTTCTTAACCTTATGAACAGGTTTAAGGAACGTTTCAGTTATAACGGCAATATGCACGTTATGAACTCTCAAAAAGTTAAATAGCTCGTCTTCATTATCTTTAAGAGATCGAGCATTCCAATTTAAAATATTTTATGCTTTAAAATCCATTACTAAATTTCAAATTACGATACTGTTCGAATTTAATCATATAGCTTCCCGGTGAAGAGTTGTTCGATGGCAGATTTTTCTCCATACAATTTTGTGCACTTGGTATCCTTTGTTTATTTATTTGTCGTCAATCAGTGTAGACCGTTTACGTTTACGTTTTGAAGGATGCACTTGGAACTTTGCTTTTTCGTGCTTCCAGTGAGCTTTTGTATATCAAGCCGGTGAGGCATCGATATGCTTCCAATGGTGGAAGCGTATCTATTGATTTATATTATGATATTTATAAATGATTTATAAATTTCTGCCATTCGATGTTCCTTTTAAGATCAAATGGAACTCGAGACGGTTCTGCAGAGTCAGTGCAATACTTAATTGAAATGATGATTGGTGATCATTGATATCCTTCCACAGACAATCGAATGATAGCGATCTTGAACACAAAAATAGGTCGAGTCGATTTTCTCGAGCCGGAGGTTAGGGCGATCTATACGATGACAATAGAGCGGCTGTTTTTTACGATTTGTGTGACGATTTCAACTTGACTATTTTGAACACTGATAAAGTGACACGTTAGAAGAATCGAAACTAGTGCAACGCCCCATTTTCCGTGAACTCAAGATTCACTGACTCAGCGTAAACGTAAGCATAGAAAAGATTAGCAAATGAATAACCACCACACGCCAAACAGGTGAGAATGTTTTCATTCGGTTATGTAAACGAATAAACATTGAAGCGCAGCGTAGCGTTCATAGTGACCCTCTAAACAAGGAAGTTAAACGGGAACAAATAACAGGGCCATGCAGAGTAGCAAAATTAAAAAACCAATATAAACAAATGAAGACGCCAGTATATCGCTACGTTCGAACAGGGGATATGATTCATGAGAGAGACTAGAATATATGCTAATGAATTAATTAATGAACACTATGTACTAAGAATTAAGAGAGAGAAAATGTCAGCCATATGGAAAGTTCTATTAGCAGGCGGGTTCAGGTGACTTAAGAAAGGCACAGTACGAGTAAGAACCATAATAAGAAGATCCAGTAAAACAAAATTAGCAAATATAAAATAGTTACCAGCGCATATCCTTGAGAAGAATCTCTTCGATATTATTCTCAAGCTGGTTAAATAAGAGGGGATGCAAAGGCCTCAAAATCCAATATCAATCTGAGTAAGAAATTAACCAGTAATAGACCCCCATACGGTAGTAGAAAATACACAACTTAACAGCAGCAGTGACAATGTCGCACATTTCCAGGGTCAGTTGTTTATAAACAGTTGCTACCGCGTCATCAGCGATGCGCGCTGGCTTAACTAGGTGCTTCGCGAAAGGTCAAAGTAAACATTGGTGAGTAAGCATCCTACATAGCCGTTCCTACCGCGAGGAGCATTAATTCTTGTTAAAAAAAACAGACACCGACTTTCCAAGAGAAAAACTATCGGTCTCGCTTTATATGTACATACTGGAGAAAAACTATTGTGTAGAGTTTAAGTAACAAATTCATGTATAAAAGGTTTCGAAGAATAAAGAATCGGAGCAGTTGTTCTGGTGAGTTTATTATCCGAGGTTTGCTAGGTGCGGACGAGCACAGTTCCAACCTCAGGATAACTGATTCATCAAAGAGCTTTTTCCATACAGTAGAAATGGAATTACACTGTCTTTCATTTTACGGAGAAAGAAAGACCACGCGAGTTGTTGCTCTACGTTGGGCACTTCAACACGGGAGTGAAACATGGATGCGCAACGGAGTATAAGCGCTTCACTAGATTCCAGAGTTGACTACGGCTAATGGAGGTTCTTGGTAGAACGTATACTGAAGCTATGCAAAGATTTTTGCTCTTCACATTTATTTAGCAAGCGACGATTTCGACGCCTGATAGAGTTGGAAGAGAGATTTTGTAGAGCTCATTCATAGTATTTATAGGTAAAGTAAACACTAACATCAACAGCGTTTAGAGAGTACGCTGTTGATGTAAGTGTTTACTTTACTTTTAAAAACTATGAATGAGCTCTACAAAATCTCTCTGGTTATTATTTTAAACTTTAAATACTACGAAAATCGTCCATTTATTCTGAAAACAGCAAAACAAATTTGATGGCAAAAACCAATTGTGAAACAGATTTCTATTATTTTAGATTATTAACAGCCTTTTGTTTGACATTTCAATAAATTAAAATATCCTAATTTTCCAGCCTACGTTCATAACAATGGAACAATTATTGGCAGTGATTTGAATTAAAAATCGACTGACATATTCTTAACTTGACTTTTCGTACTGGCTATCAACTGCTTACTTGTATTTTATATGTTCCATATTTTGTTTGTTTAAACAAATATTTTTTCAGATATAAAGACGCAAAAGGATCGAGCAAATCATGTATCGTATGAACTCAGAATCTTTAATGCATATTTACATAATACTATTCCTGTTCCCATAATACTAAGCAGCAACAAATGGACCAATGCACTGACTTCATTACTTACTTGAAATCATTTTGATTGCCAGCAACGCAGACTGAGCGTATGCTATGGCTTACCCTCAATACTAACAAAATTCCACCCTTCCCGTGACATTTATGAGGGGTCGTAGCGTTCTCTGCAGCTCTCTTAAGTAAATGTCGGACTAACATTCCTTCCCCATCCCCATCAGTTGCAAGGACGTGGCTAGGACTGACTGTTGTAGTCCGTTGGAAGAAAACGCATCCTAAGAGGTAATTATTAATCCCAATTTACTACCTAACAGTATCGGATAGAGGGGAGTCAGATTAGAGCTCGTACCACCAACGCATTTGTGCAACTCGATCTATGCTATGCTATGCTATGTTAGTTTTATAGCATCAAACATGGACTAAATTTTAAGCTTATCAGTAATCATGTCAATTAATAATTTCTGTAAAAATTCCATTTAAGGAGCATTCATGCTTC